TGAGAGTCCCCCTCACGACTGTCTCCCAAGGAATTTTTGTTCCCCCACAAAAAACATTTGATCAGGTAGACCAGGTGGGAACTCTTTAGGTTCTTTGGGAATTTTCTGTCAAGTTTTGTACACTGGGACAGGTAGGGGCCCAGATCACGAGCTCAGCCCCCAGACAAGCTCACATTCAAGGTAAGACAGGGATTGAGGCTTAAGGAGAGGAGAGGAAAGGAAGGAGAGGGAGCTTTGCACCCAGAACTCAGGCAGGAGCTGGAGCAGCGTATGGGCTGGTGTCACCTGTTGGCGGGCTGGGCGCTGGAGATGGGAGCTGCTCCTTCTGTCTGACAGGAGTTTCCAGAGCATCCTTCACAGGCTGTTATGGAAACATGTTCCAAGGCCTTAGACAAGAGCCTGGATGTCTGTTTCTTGTCCTGAAACTGCTTCTCTCTGGTAGAGTCAGTCCCTGGGCATGAGTCTCAAGGTGTCTCAATTGATTCGAATGCAGCGCTTTATCCCAGGTCCCACCTCCCTTTCCAGCTTGGGGATCTGGGTCCCAGAGAGAGAGCTCAGCCCAGGGGACTTAGAGACGTTTGTCTGAGACCACCTAGCGGCTGCGCCATCCTTGTCATGGTGGATGGTGACCTGGGTGCAGGGTGACGGCCACTGAGCATTTGCTTCCTGGAAGCTGGGTCGCTGAGATTGTTCATGAAGGGAAGTGCTTGAACCCTCACCTACCCCTTTGCTCTTGACAAATATTTGGCCAGTGGGGTCCTGCGGCTAGGACAGAGTGACTGCTCCCTGCCCAGGGTGCCTTATCTGGTGGGTGTGGGTGCAACCCTTGCTCTCTGTTTGCTCTCTGCACACTTAGTGGGTGGAGTGGGGCAGGCCCTGGCTTGGTCCCATGATTCACGCAGAATCCCAGCTCTGCACTGTGCGGGCCTGGGAGGCCTTCACCCTGGCCGGTCAGCTCTGTCTCGAGGCTCCCCCTCCCTGGAACCCCACATCCTGCTACTCCTTGGCCCTCACTTCGTGCGCAGCTTCCCGGCCTCCTGACGCTCTCACTGCTGCTTCAGCATGCCCTGGGCTGGCCTGTCCTCTCTCTGCTCTCCAGAAAGCTATTTCCTGAGCCTTTGGCCCAGTTAACCAGCCAAGTCCACCTCTCCCTTCAAGGTTTGATTGGGCCCCTGCCCTGGCCATGCGGGCTGGTTATCATCCTGCCAGTTATGGTGGCCTCTGTGTCCATCTCCACTGGGCTGTGGGCCTCTTGGGTGAGTGTGTCTTACCCCAGGTATTGGGTGGTGCTGAAGATGGTGCCAGAAGTTTTGTCACATCCATAGTTGCTGCCACTTTGCACCAGTGCAATGTGGGGTGACAGTGGCAAATTGGCATTTACAGACCAGGAAGCTGAGGCCACCAGGCTAATCGCTTGTTACAGCCTCTGCCATTGGATGCGGTGGCACCCCTCTCAGGGCTCACGAGCAAATGCTGCGAGATGCTGGAGCTGTGGGACCTCACCTGTGCCAGGGAGCCGGGCCCTCACAGCTGTTACCGCTTCTAACATGCACCTGCCCTGGGATTCTCACAACAGTGGTGTCTGTGCCCAGGGCCCTGCTCACACACATCTAGCTGGGAATAGGGTCTCTCCTCAGCTCAGCCTTTCGTCCCTACGGCTGTTCCCCTCCTATTTCATCACCCCTCCCAGGTCGTCCCCTATGGCTCCCTCCCGAAGCAGCCCTCCTGTCTTTCTCCCTGGTCACCTCCTGGGCAGGGCCGTGAGGGCAGAGGGCCCACTGCCCGGCTCCTGGGAGCAAAACTCCCAGGGTTTAATCACTTCATCTGTGCAGAGGACATTCCCTTCTTGTGATGTGTAACTTAAAACATGTTTCTGGGACAGGTGGGGCCTGGTGGCATCTGTCTTATAAGAACTTCCCTGGGGACCAGCGAGTCCCTGGCTCTTCCCAGCCTGGAGGCCCCAGAGAGATGAGAGGCACTCACTTGGTGTCCCCCAAATGGCGGGGGTCAGAGAGGGCCGTGGGTGTGTTGTGATGATAGAGGTATTTTGTAAAAGTCCCCCTGAGAGAGAATTTCTCACCTGGAAAGACATGTTAATGGAAAAAGCCAATCACAAAAGTCCACGTATTGTTTGAGTCCACTCACATGGAGGTTGGGTACATGGACATCTATAGAGACAAAGTTCATGAGTTGTCAAGTAGGGATGGGAGGGGTGGAGGGGAGCGACAGCTCTAGGGCACAGGGGTCCTTCTGAGGTGGTGAAAATGTTCTAAAATGGACTGGGGGTGATGCTTGCATAGCTCCGTGAATATACTAAATACCATCGAATTTTACATTACATGGGTGAATTGTATGGCTTGTGAATTCTCTCTCACTTAAGCTGTTTTTAAAAAGAATTTCTCCATCCCCCCATCTCACTATGAAACCTACTGTTATAGATAAACCATGAAAAGAAAAGAAAACCGACATAATTTTCTAAAGGACCTTTGCAAGGTGGGCTACACCCAGAGGCGGGATGGATTCTTACCAATGACTCCAGGAATGAGAGGGGGATAGGGGAGAGGAGAAAGGGGATGCTTTTTCTAGGGATCTGGAGCGTAGTCTTCATCAGGTGAAAACACACCTTAAATACCTGAAGCCGATGAGGAGGTGCCACTTCCCTCTGCCTCCGGGTGCCAGGGCTGGACGGCAGAGTCGAGGTCACATCCGGCAAGCGCATGCTCAGGACCCCAAGGCGAGCGCTCAGTACAGCGGCTTCCCTCTGAATTCATCTGATTCCCTGGCCTTTGGTTCCTGACCCAGCAACCTAGGGAAGGATACAGATGAAAGTTAAATGGTCTGTAGGCCAGGATCTAAGAGCGGCCTCCTCCGATTTTGCCATTTCCAGGCACCACCTGTGTGTTAATTTACCTCATATGTATTTTACAGTTAATTTTTCCCCAAAATAACTATATCACTGCGTTAAAAATAAAATAGTGTTATTTTCCAGCTTCCCTCTGCCCACCTGCCCTTGGAGCCGGTATGTAGGGGAGCTCCAGATGCCTGGCTCCACCCTGAGCCCGTCTCTCTGCCTTAGAAAAATGGGAGAGTGAAAAAGACAATAATTTTCCTGAGTGCCATGCCTGCCGACCATGCACAAACACCTCCTGCCCACCGGCTCCCACACAGGTTCCATTGAGAGTGCANTGTGGCATTCAGCGTTCCTCAGTGCCATGCCTGCCGACCATGCACAAACACCTCCTGCCCACCGGCTCCCACACAGGTTCCATTGAGAGTGCACTCCCCCACGCGAGCATCCCAAGCTGGTCCTCTGAGATTGGTTCACACATGGCTCTAGTTCAGCCACACCCATCTGACAGGACCCTGACTCAGACACTGACATGTGGCTGGACAGGTGTCCCACACCCAGGAGTTAGCCGTAAGCAAGGGGGACCTCATCCCCTCCATCACCTGGTCAGGCAAAGTGTCATTTGGTAACTAACCGAATATACCTGTTTGGGGCTCAGTGCTGCAAAAGGGAAGTACAGACTCCCTAGATCCTGTGACTGGGGAACTGACTTAGACAGGTCCAGATCCCCTTACATCGTTTTCTGGGCAGAGAGGCCCAGCCTGGTTTCGATAAGTCCAGATTCTTCACTGCACTGATTTTTCCATTCAAATGTGATTCTTTCCTGCTGCTTCTCAGCTAAGTGGCTGAGAACGCCTGTGAGGACAGTGGCTCTCTCACCCAGCAGGTGGGCAGCAGGTACCACGTGCGTTCACACCATGGGGCACATAGGGCTGGGGGGCACCAGCCTGTTCTGAGCCCTCAGATGTTCGGGAAGACTGTGCTATGCACCACAGGACCTTGGAACCTCTGACTGCAAAGCCTTTCACCTATCTCTAGCTCCAAGTACAGTCCTTGTCTGGGTGGGAGTAGGGGGGAGGCCAAGCCCATTTTACTGGGATGAAGGGGGACAAGGAGAGGGAAAAGTGTACAGAAGATCCCAGCATGGGTTTGTGCGCGCCAGTCCTCCAGAAGTGGGACAGTGGCGTTGGGACAGTGACAGGGCCATTACTGACCACCATGTCTGTCCTCACATTTCTCTTTGAAAACATGGGGTTCATTGACCCTGTGGACATCACAGGGGTGTCTTCTGGGTAGCAATGGGCAGTGCTTCTTTCTTGTCTGTCCTAGGTCACCTGGGGAGATCCCGCTGACCTGGGCCCTCTCCATTCCAGCCTGGACTCCAGCTGTCAGAGCACCTCCTGGACTTGGGGATCTCAGGGATCAAATCTCAAAAAATGAAATGCTAATGACATAGGGTGGCTAATTTATTTTGCAGTTCACTACCATGTCATAAGAGAAAGAGTATTTTAATATCAAAATACTAGGAAGGATATAATCTCAGAATAAAGAACAACCCTTCTAATGATAATCTAGATAATGAATTACCTAACTTCCATGTACCTCAGTTTCCCTATCTGACAAATGGGTCAGTACCTGGCTCATAGTGTTATTGTGAGGATTAACTGAATATGTGTATATATATATATATCTCCTCACCAGAGGACATTTTCATTGATTTTTAGAGGGAGGGGAAGGGGGAGAGAGAGAGAGAGAGAAACATCGATCAGTTGCCTCCTGCAACCTAGGTATGTCTCCTGACTGGGAATCGAACCTGATAACACTCCTACCAACTGAGCCATACCAGCCAGGGCCTGAGTTAATATTTTTAAAGTGTTTAGGACAGTGCCTGGTATATAAATGTAATATAAGCATTTCTTAAATAAAAAATCTCAATTGTATTTTAAAAAATGAAAACGGCAAGCAGGCAGGGGATTGGACTGACTGGGATGAGAGATCCAGGCTGGATCCCCGAGGGAATGAGGGAGTCACCTGGTGACGAAAGTGCCCACCGCTGTTCTCTACCTCCCTTCCGTTTTCTGCCTGGAGGGACCTCTGGGTCTGGTCCTTCCTGGCCCCATGCTCACCCCTCCCTCCCGCTCTCCCCCTGCAGGTCTTCGGGGGCCTGGTGTGGATCCTGATAGCCTCGTCGCTGGTGCCCCTGCCACTGGTCCAGGGATGGGTGATGTTCGTGTCTGTGTTCTGCTTCGTGGCCACCACTACCCTGCTCGTCCTGTACATAATTGGCGCCCACGGCGGGGAGGCTTCCTGGGTCACCCTGGTGAGTCCCAGCTTGGGATGTCTGAGGGGGTGGGCAGTGTTGGACCCTCTTCCCTGGGACGCTGGCTTTTCCCATGCTGGGCGAGGCTGCCCCACAGACATCTCCCACCCATGTTCCGACGTCAAGCTGGCCAGGCCTCCAGCTCCGAGCTGGCCAGGACTCCAGGGCTCCCTGCAGCCGGGGGTCAGGAGGAGGCAGAGGCTGATGGTCACCGCCTGCCCCTCCTGGGCCTACTCTGCCTTCTCGTGCATGACTGCCGTCTTCACGGAGAGCCAGTAGCCCAGCCCCCTGCCCATACTGCCTGCATCTGCCCGGTGCTAGTGGCACCTCCCGTCCTCCAGGAGGGCTGGTTTCCACCTTGTCCTGGGCGTGGGCCTTGGCTGCCCAGTGTGAGGCCATGCTTACTGCCCAGCTTCCAGATACACCTTCTAAAGCAGGGTCACCAGAAAGGGACTTGGAGGGGGGAGAGAGAGGACCTGTGGTCTCCATTCGCATAAATTCTGCCTCGAGACCCATGGAGAGGGTAAAACTTACACAGGAGACACCTTCAATTACCTGCCCTGGAAGGGGCCATGGATTTGGCTGAGTCTCTCTCTAAAAAAGCCTCCTACTCAGACTTTGAAGTCATTTCCAAATGACAGCTTCTCAAAGGTCCTCGTTTACTTTTTTTAATTTTTATTATTTTTAAAAAAATATATCCTCGTTTGCTTTTAAAGATACCTGGATGCCCCCTCACCCCCACCCCCACAAATCGAGCAACAAAAGGATACTGGAAATGGCCTGGGCTTCGCCCTGCACTGGCCACCAAGGCCCCACCCTGACTGGGACGGGGACCATGTGTGATCCTTCTCAGGCCCAGAACCGATTTCTGCCTCTTAACCGCTGAGCTGCGCTTCTGCCCCCACCTTCCTGGTCCCACCTGAAGGGAAAGCAGCGTCCCTTGGTCACTGAAGTCCTTGCTTTGGCCCCCAGCCGGTGGGAAAAGCCTGTGCAGGGAGCGCTGATTAGACCGTCCGTGAGGAGGGGGCCGGCGGGGTGGCGATGGGCGGATGAGGGGCGCCGAAGCCGCGCCTGGCGGGGACAGGGGTGCAGGCAGGCCCTGCCCGGCCGCGGCTGCCCTCACGTCCGTGCCCGGGCCCCCATCTCTCTGATGCTTTCTGACCCTGCAGGATGCGGCCTACCACTGCACCGCCGCCCTGTTTTACCTCAGCGCCTCGGTCCTGGAGGCTCTGGCCACCATCCAGATGTACGAGGGCTTCACCTACCGGCAATACCACGAGAACATCTCCGCCGTGGTGAGTGCGTGGCCTCCACGCGCGGCTCCCGCCGCCGGGCCCCTTCCTCTTGCCTCAGTTCATTAGCTTTTGCATGAAGTAAACTGTCCCCTCATTTCTGAAGAAGCAGAGCCCTGGAGAAGGGAAGGGATGTGCCCTGGACTCTCTGGGGCATCGGTCAGCGTCCCCGCAGGCCTGGGCTGGCCCGGGGGTCTGTCCTAGGGGCTTTGCGGGGGGCAGGCCTGTGAGGAGACGTGACCGCCGAGGGCCCAGCACTGTGAGCTCTCTGTGGACAGTCAGCCCTCACGGCAGCCCCAGGACGTAGGCACTGTCATCACACCCATGTCACAGGCAGAGAACCAGGGCCCTGAGCGCGGAGAACTTGCTCCGAGGTCACAGGAATCGTGGGGCCTGGCGTCCAGGCCCGGTGCGCGGTCACCCGCACTCAGCAGCAGGTTTGGGCGGGGAGTCTGGCCACTTGGGCCTCCTGGCTTCACTGAGCCGTCTGTCCGCCATGCAGGCGAGTCAGGGCTGGGGAGCACCGAGGTGGGAGATCGAGTGGCCAGTCTTGCCAGCCCTGGTCCAGACCCGGGCCCAGACCCCCCAGCTGTGGGTGTTGGCTGCTTCAGAGGCCTTTGTGACTCTGTCTACTGCCTGGCAGTTGACCGGTGGAGGAGGGACCGGAGTCACATCTCCACTGATTCCTTGTGCTCGCAGCCTTGGCTTGCTCATCTGTAAAATGGGATGTACTTCCTGCCCGGTCCCTTGAGGAACACAGAGGGAGTGAACCACTTCCTCTGAGGACCCCAGTGAGCAGTGGGTGGGACAGGGCTTGCACCTCTCTCAGCCAATCAGCAGAGCAAGTGGGGGTGCCGACTGTGTGTGACAGGGCAGGTCTCCAAGCTCCAGAAAGGATGTTCACCAGACCTGCTGGTGGACTGTGGTCAGGACCTGGGTTTTCTTTTCAATGGAAAGGATCAGAACGGCAGAGAGTTCGAGAGTGGATGGCTCCACAAGGTTGTGGGTGCGTGGGCTTGTACTGGGTGCTCACTCACGATGCTGATGTATTTCCAACTGTGGATATTGTTTAAAAAATAAGAAAATGTTTCAGAACTAGCACTCCTGAGATTTCTAGAAGTCAGCCTATGAATTATGCAAATATGATGATAGGCAGCTCCAAGTACCAAAGCTCTGCCGTGCCCCCCTTGTTGGAAGGGTGTAGTAGAGGTTGAGCAAAAGCCCACAGGGATGGACCGCGGTAGGCTCTGGGAAGGGGGTTGGTGAGGGTGCTCCTCCTGCTCCCACAGCCAGGGGTCTGGGGGAAAGTTCCTCCAAGTTTTGTGCCCTGTTTCCTATGGGCCCATCCCCCACCCTGGGGAAGCCACATGTTCCCCTTAAGCTCCCAGCCTACTGCCCAGTTCTGTAAGCACGGCCCCTTCGTGGTTCCTGGTACCCCTCATGCCCACAGTATGGAATGGCTCCCATTTTGGCTTATTTCCCAGGAAGGCTGGTTTCTAATAGCACAGCTGGGCGGCACCTTGGCTAGCCTACTTCCCTTGGGAGGCTGGTCATCCTTCAAATGACTCGGTGTGATCTCCCCTCTCACCTGAGAGCCTCCTGCCTCCCCCATCCCAACCCAGAAGCCTTCTCTTCTAGCAGACATCGGCAAGACATTTGACAGTCCCTTCCATAAAATTACGTGGGCAACAGTCGTGAAATGTAGATGGAATGTGACTAGTGGGTCAGCACTTACGAAGCAACCCCGACGGTGTGAGTTCATGCCCCTGCCAGCGGGACAGGTCTCTAGTGGAGAACCACTGAGAGCTACCGTGTTCTGACTTCCCTTTTTTACTTTTTTTAAAGTTGATTTTAGAGAGTAAGGAAGAGAGAGAGAAACATCGAAGTGAGAAACATCACTGTAAGAACACATCAATCGATTGCCTCCCGTGTAAGCCCCAACTGGGGATCGAACCTGCAACCTTTTTGGTGTACGGGACAACACTCCAACCAAGTCACCCGGCCAGGGCTCTTACTTTTTAAAAAGATGCAACATACACCCAGAGGATGCATGTGTATAGCTTGATGAGTTTTCATAAAGTGAACTCTGTGTAACCAGCATCCTGATCATGAAACAGAACAAACAGCCCCAGGGCCCCTTTCTTGTCCTGCTCCCATCCCTGCGCACCCACGACACAGACAGTCCCCCCCCTGACTTCTAGCTGCCCGGGTCAGTTCGCCTGCTTCTGAACTCCCTGTAAGTGGAGCTGTGCTGCATGGATCCTCTAAGTCTGGCCTCTTTCTCGTAACCTCGGGCTTGTGAGGCCCACCAGATGGTTGGGCGACATGTAGTGTCCGTTCTTTTTGCCATGTGGGATGCCACGGAAGAGCACACCAACATGTGAGCTCATTCCACGACTGATCGGGCCCCCACATTTTTGTTAGTTAGGCTGGAGAACCGTGAGTGTGCCCAGGCAGAGTCAGCAGTGCCAGGAGCAAGATGGAAGTGTCCCCGCAGGCAGACGCACTGGGCTGAAACCACCCCAGAAACAGGAGCCCGGTTCCCTGTAAAGTCACACCTCTCTGCTGGAAGTGCCAGTGGTATCTGGGCGCAGCACAGGAGCCATGACTGCTCGGGATTCAGCCCCAGACCCCAACCAACCAGAACCTCCTTCAGATGGGCAGGGGGTGGCCGGTCCGGGGGTGTGGGAAGCATCTCATGACCTCCCAAACTCCTGGCCTTGGGTGGCAGGAAATTTCTGCACAAATCTGGAGGTTTCTGGATCTGGGTGGGCACTGACGGCAGTTGTTTAGGGAGAGGGGTTTCTGAAAGCTTAAGAATGTCACTTTATGTCCCTGGCTCTCAGTGTGTCATTTCTTGGCCTGACTTAGAAAATACATGTTTCCTGTTCCCATGGGCTTCTGCCGAGGATTCTCATGAGTCTGGAATTGCCCAGTGAACTGCCCCCTGCTAATGGGGGAGGTGTCTTTCGGGGGCTGCTCACACATGTCTGACTGCTCCTTCCAGGCAGGGTACTCAGGAGTCCCCAGATGAGTTCTCCTATGTTTATTATTAAGTAACTGGTCTTACTCATCGCCTCTGGCCAACGGGGCTGAAGGGCTCACCCATGTGTGGAGTAGGGGACAGAGCAGCACGGTGCCGCCACTGTTTATGGGCATTTTCCAAAGCCATAGAAGCGTGGCCACCCTAAATGCTGTGCCTGGCCTGGAAACTCTTGACCCCAAGCCCAAGGCCAAAAACCAGGTGCAGAGAGCTGACTGGGGAGCAGGCAGCCTTTAGGGAGGCCAGCCACCAGAGCAGGGTGTTAGGAGTAAATGGAGCCCAGTGGAAAAGTCAGGGGTGTGACAGCCATCAGGTGACCAGTTGCCACATTTCCAGGGCCTTCATTCCCAGCACCAGAGCGGCCGGCTGGGTTTTCCCAGCAGCTTTCCTGGTAAGCCCCTCCCTTTGTGCAAAAGCTCAAAATCCTCCTCTGTGTCCCTGCCCCCACTTCCTGGGAGCCTGGCCCCTCACCCAGGCCTGTGACTAAAAGGTACTAGAATACGACTCTGTGGGGTCTGAGGACGTCCAGGCAGCATCGGCATTTACCAGAGCCAGCAAACCCACATGCTCACATTTCCTAGCAGCGGATGCTGGGGCCACAGTTGGTGGCTCTGGTCTTGCTGGTGTGGAGGGAAGTTTTCCATGGAGAGTGGCGGATGCTCTTCTTTTGAGGCCCTGTTTCCAGTTGGGTGGCACCCATATGATCACATGAGGAGGTAGATAGTTGACCTTGCACCCCAAGTCCAGTGGATGGTCTGTCAGCTCGAGCTCTGTGCCGAAAGCATTCTGGGACCACATCTGGGCTCAGCAAGAAAGAGGGTCACTTAAGTGGTGGGAAGCAGTGGCTGGCCACACATGGCAGGTCTGTCACCCTGAACGAACGCCACATGAGCAGCCAGCCTGATGCAGACAGCCCACTCCTTGCCCTGTCCCCATGCCTGCCCATTAATGGTCATTTCTCTTGGTTTCAGGTGTTTTCATATGTAGCCACTCTGCTGTACGTGGCCCACGCCGTGTTTTCTTTAATCCGATGGAAGTCTTCATAAAGCAGAAGAACTTTAGCCGCACACCCAAACGGTGATAACTGATCAGCCCTCCTTCCAGCATAACTTTCTAGAATGCAGGCATGCTCTCTGGTGGAAAAAAGAAAACAAACCAAAACAAGCAACACTCTGTTTCCTGCGGGTGTTATGTTTACTGTCCCATAGACCTTCATGTCAGGGTTGCGGGCCAGCTACCTTTAACATGCAATGAGGGCTGTCTTTCTGGGGTCATTTCCTGTTTTTTGCAAGGGGTAGGG